GTGACGTATACAATATGCCATACACAGTAACAAGTCTCACAATGTTACTGGGCCCGCTCGAGCAAATCGATGAACAACTGGAGGACCGTGACCATGAACACAGGTATATACAAATGTAATATGCATTTAGACATTACTCAGAGATAAAGTAAGTAAAGTAAAGTAAAGGCCCTCCCGTTGATCGTCGATTTGCTCGAGCGGACCCAGTAACGTCTCCATTGGAGACTTTGTTGTTACTGTGTCTGGCATATCGAATACTCTCGGTAGCTTGCCGGGCTCTCCGAGAGGGGCGGAGGAATCGAACTCGGGTCAGCCATGTTGGCTGCGTGCAAGGCGAACGCCCTACCCACTGTGCTATCGCTCATAAAGATATATATACACATATAAGACACACTAAAAAGTATACATATGCACAGAAATATGTTTCTATGCACATTTTATGTGTGTATATGTAATCATAAGTTCATCTTCATATCTCTAATTCCAAGCCACCGCCATAGGGTCCTTTTTTATCTTCCCCCACTTCAGACTTTGGGTCAGGGAGTTGAGCCACACCTGGGGGCTACCCCCATCTCCTTGCTCTGGAGTTGCTCCCTACAGTGCTGGCAGTACCATGAGGTGCCAGGGATCAAACCAGGGTTTGTCACATGCAAGGGAAGTGCGTTAACCCCTGTAGTGTCTTTCTGCCCTTCATCCCGTATTGTAAAGCCCTTTTGGATTCCAACTGCCAACAGCATTAACGTTTTCTCATTTTCCCAAAGCCACATACAGCTAAAATCCTTTCAAAGGAGTTTGACATGACTACCACAAGGTTGAAAGAGGCGTAAACACAAACAAGAGATCGGGGGCTGGCTGCAACTTTCTCTCCTCCGACTTTACTCCAGAAGGAAGTGAGAGAGCTGTGTCTGCGGGCTAGATGGAGCTGCTCTTCGTTTCCTCTTGCTTTCCTGCCCTTCAGTGTGCTCATTATATGGATGCAAAATACAGTTGAATTCCTTCCTTTCTGTTTATTTTCAGTCTTTGGCTTCCTCCGACTTCCCATCTTGCTTTAATTTCATTTTGAATGTGCAGAACATTAGCATTCTTCCAAAGACCAAATGAAACAAAAATATTATTCTCAGAAAAATGTCACTCCCTTCTGAGAGAATTCCCTCCAGTGAGTAATCAGCTTCATTGTTTTCTCGTTTATCTTTCCTGTGTTTCTTCTGGTATCAAAGGGCACAAATGTGTATGTTTCACTTCCGATTCTTACACAAAAGACAGAATTACTAGCTATCCTCTTTTGAACTTTCTATTTTGTCAGTTGCATTTCCTAGAAATCACTTCATATCGGTTCGTAGAAATTGGGGGGAAAAGGGGGCTTGTATTTTGTTTTTGTCTTTTCTAATTCAGCTACACAGTACTCTTGTGTGCACGCACCACATTTTATTGAATCAATTTCTTATGCTTGAAGCTTTAGGGTGTTTCCAATATTTTATCATTATGAATAATGCTGCTATAGGTAACTTTATGAACATATACTTTTACATTGTTGGAGACACATTTGCAGGACAAATTCCTAGAAACAGGATTTCTGCGGTCAAGAGATAAAGGTGAATGTAGTTTTGTTCAACCTTGCCAACTTCTTCTTTATATGGGCGGTACCATTCTGGATTGCCTCCAGTTCTTTGCTTCAAGTCTAATCCACAGAATATATTCTCAATTTTTAAAATGTTGCCAATGGATAGATGAGAAATGATACCTCATCATAGTTTTAAATGTTCTTAATCTAACATTTTTTCAGGTTTTTTTTTTTGCCATTTAAATCACTTTGGTAAACTGTTCGTGCCTCAATTTTACCTACTTTTCTATAAGAATTCTTAGTTTTTTTACCTTTAATTTTTAAAAGTCTTCATCTTTGGACAAAGAGACAGTACCGGAGTTAATATGCTTGTCTTGCAGGCAAAGGACCTGGATTTACTTCCTGGTCCCACAACTGGTGATCCCTGAGCAAAGAGCCAGCAGGAAGCCTTGAGCATCTCTGTGTGGGGCTCTTACACCCCCAAAACAGTCTTAGTCTCTGATCTGTCATGTGCATTACAAACATCTTCTCCCTGCTCGTGATTTTGTGTGAGTGTGATCGTTTTTACCATGCAGAATTATTTTTTTTTCTTTTTGGGTCACATCATCAATGCACAGGGGTTATTCCTGGCTCATGCACTCAGGAATTACTCCTGGTGGTGCTCAGGGGACCATGTGGGATGCTGGGAATTGAACCCGGGTCGGCCAAGTGCAAGGCAAACACCCTACCCACTGTGCCATCGCTCCAGCCCCATGCAGAACTAGTTTAATACTCAGATTATTCATCTTTCCTTACCCAATGTCCAGAGTTTTTCATAGTTAAGCGCTTTTATTTTATGTCCAGGTGGTAGAGAAATTTACCCATTTCTTCTATTACATAATTTTAATTTTTATATTTAGTTAGAGTCCATTGGAGTTCATTTTATAGTTGGTTCGGAAAGTGGATAGATTTTCCACTTTTCAGCTTAAACAGCTATCCAATTTGTCCCAAAACCATTAGTTATTAAAAGTCGTCTGTGCCTCCAGGACAAAGAGGCATGGATTTTATCATTTATAAAATGTCTGCATGCTTCTGTGTTTATTTCTAGACATTCTCCTCTATTTCATTGGTCAGTTTGTCTGGCCCCCAAACGGCTGTTTTAATTACAGGAAATTTGTAATTCCCCTTAATATCCCGTAGGGCTAGTCCCCTCCAAGCTCTTTCTTTCCAGTGCTTTCCTAGCTAATCTTAAGTCTTTATTTTCCCACATGAACTTTATCAGCATTTTGCCCATTAAAAATGTCCTTTAGTTTTTCATAACAAACAATACAAAATGTATTACTTCGGTACTGCTTTGGGATAGGGATTGGGGTTCAGGATGGAATCATCTGAAGTATGGTGGTGGGAAGGTGTAATGGTGGTGGGATTGGTGTTTGAATATTAAGTGCAATCAAATATTGTGAACTACTTTATAAAATTTTTAAAAAATTTAAAAATGCCCCTTAGTGGGGCCGGAGCAATAGGACAATGTGTTAGGGCATCTGCCTTGCCTATGGCCAACCTGGGTTGAATCCCTGGCACCATATATGATCCCCTGAGCCTGCTAGGAGAGATTTCTGAGCTCAGAGCTAGAAGTGAGTCCTAACCACCACCAGGCCTGTCCCCCAAACAGACAAATGCTCTTTAGTACTTGCATCAAGGTTACGTTACATTTACCACTCAGAGAAAGGGAGAGAACAGCAGTCCGTCCAGGTGACATGTGTAAGAACAAGCTGAGCTATTCCTTTCATTCGAGTTGTTTATCCTTTCAGATTTGATGTTCGCTTACACAGTTAGCTCCTTAAGTAAACTAACAAGGATTTATCCAGAAACAGGGATGCTCACAGTGCTATATTAGGCAGAATGGAAGGAAAGAAGTGGATTCTGCTCTCCAGCTCAGCATGGCCCTGGGCTGCTGGATACACTTCAGTCCCTGTGGCATTCAAAACCCAAGCAAGCAGCACCTTTGACACGCCGAGACCTGACATTCTCGGCAAGCCCCGAGGGAAGGGAGCGCTGTGGGGACCAGAACAACAAGATTCTGCCGAACTGAGACCAGGAGTCCATGCCCGGAAGGTGCAATGGGCTGCAGGTGGGTGGCAAGGGAAAGGAAGGAATTCTACTGAGAGCTCCCAGGTGAAACCTCAGAGGAGAGCTGCCACCTGCTCACAGCGCAGAGTCTGCAGCCAGATCCTGGAGAATGTGGGGGGAACTACCACCCCTCTCTTGACGGAAGCCGCAGAGCCTTGGGCCCCTCCACAGCTCCCCAATCCTCAGAGTCCTCACTCAAATGACATCCATCAGCCTCTCCTAGGTCTCCAGCCACTTTTCAAAATGATCACTTCCGTTTACCATTGCCTCTTCAAGGAATGTTCTAGAGCTGTGCTCTCTGGGTACAACCCATCTCTTCTAGCTTCCCGGGGTTACTGGACCCTTCAAGTGCAGTGAGTACATCTAGAAAAGCAAAATTCTGATTTTCTTTCATTTTAAACTTGATTTTCAAATCTGAAACTCTTCCAAACTCTTTCCATTGAACCCAACTTTGTGGCTTGAGGAGGACTCTTTTATTGCTTTGAGCTATGGGGCGAGAGGACACACCATCTGTTCTCAGGGATCACTGTTGGCCGTGCTCAGGGATGCTGTGCTGTGGATAGAAACCGGGTCAGCTGTGTGCAAGGCAGGAGGCCTCTCCCGTGTAGGAAGTCCTGGGTCCTTTGTAGGGACACACTTTTAACCACAGCTAGCACTGCATTAACATTCCCATTGGCGGAGGGAAGCGCATGGTGTTGGAACACTCTAACACTACAGGCCTGAAGCAACTCTTGTGAACAACTTTGTAAATAAGTGTTTTAATCAAAATTAATTTTTTAAAAAATTGTGGCCCCACAGGGCAAGTGTCCCTTTTCTTTACCAGTGGTTACTAGAACATTTCAAATTATGTCAGTGTCTCATATTAAATTTCTCTTTGTCAGTCCTGGGTTATATCCAGTCTCAAGTCTAGAGTCCATTTCCCGACACACACACACACACACACACACACACACACACACACTCCACACTCTGCAGGGTCCCCAAGATGCCCCGCTGATCCCTGGGCAAAGGAGCCTCAGGGTAATTCAGCAGACATCAGGCCTCTGGTTGTGCTCTAGGGTGATCCCTGTCCAAGTAGGGGTGCAGTGAGGGGCCCTGGGGAGGTCTCTGCCTCCACTGTGATGTCACAGAGCAAAGCCCCCATGTCACCCAACCCCGCCCGGCCAGTGGCCTTGGTAACAGGATATAGTGTGCAGACTCTCCAGCCCTCTGCCATACCACCTTAGCCCTCTGCTGGCAAGAGGGACACTGATTTCATCTTCTCCCCAGATCTTCGTTCCACGCAACCAATTAAGACAGCAGAAGAGCAACATCTTTGCCTGGGAAGTGAATGAGCAAAACCTCTCAACTGCCTCAAGATGTTTATCTCACCCCGAAGGTAAGATGCCAGGGTTTCTGAAATCCCCTGAGTATCTCACTCAGGAGAGAGGCCCCTTCGGCCCCTCCTTGGGGGTTTGTAACACCTGTGTCAGGGAAACGCACAGATTTAATCTCTCTTACATACCCATGGGTAGTGGAAGTAGGTAGGAAGCCTGAGAAAGCTCTGAGCTAATCCCCCAGAGTGTTTATAGGAAGGGATGGATTTACTGACATCCATTAGACGTGATTATAGGGAATGGAAAGACAACTCATTCCTTCCGCTAAGTCAGGGTTTGCTTGTTTTTGATAAACCAGGCAAATCCATTACCTGGGTCTCTTTTTCCGTTTTTCTACTAACCTCCATTTCATCATCCTTTTGGGTTTTCATCGTGTTTTTCCACTCTACTCTGTACCTAGAGTAGTTTTAGGACACTGTAGCTCTATTATTTTTCTTCGTCTGGAGGATTCTAGTCGCCAAAATCTAGCTCCTGGTAAAAGTTCCAGTGCTGGTGGGAAGTGATAGAAACGTGTATTAGTCTAGAGATGAGAAAAGCAGACAATCAGTCAGAATGGTGACCCCCACACCCACTCCACCGCCAGCTCTAATCCTGAACCTACTAGAACGAAAATGAGCAAGACTTGAGACTCTTCCTGCCTCAAGAAGATCTGGGAGAACCTGAACAGATCTTTCCAGGGCCCCAAAAGACCCGAACAGGCTGTAAAACTGATTCCACTTGTCTAGGATAACACGCATACCTTGGGTGATTTGTGTCCCATTCGAGAAAGTTGGGAACTGCCAACTTCCAGTTATATGAGTCACTGAAAAAGCAAACATGGCTCATTCCTCTGTATTTAAAAAAAAAAATTGAAAGTTACAATTAGCCAGAGAAATAACACACACACACACACACACACACACACACACACACACACACACACTCACTCCGTGGCTGGTTCGCTGGGAAGGGAGAGATCTCAGAAGGGAAGCCTGGGTCTGTGGTCACAAAGGAGGGCGAGTGACCAAGAGCCTCCACTATCTCCCCAACCCAGAAGCCCAAAGAGACTCATTAGGCTCCACAGAGGCCAATTCCACCTGGATCCCCAAAGTCACCCAGTGCTTAAATTGTATCTTTGCTACTGGTTTTTTAAAAAAACCCATAGATCTCTTAATATAGAGCTGTGATGTTTAAAATACGTTGGCTCAATTGTCTCCATCTTAGTCCTCAGGTCAGCCATGTACTTTTATAAGAAATTGGGGGGGGGGGGGGCAGTCCTAGGAGATTTGTTGGTTTGGGGATTGGGGTGCTGCGGGGGCATCAAACGCCCAGCAATGCTCAAGGATCACTCGGCTATGCTGTCACTACGACCCCAGTGCCAAGAGTTCTGAGCACAGACACCATTAACTTCTGGCCTGGAGCAAGTCACCTCTGGGTCAGACACCCACCACCCCTCTCTCCTCCAGGCTGGTTCTACGGTTTCAAAGGGACAAAGTCCAGCAAGGCTTGGGGGCCACTGGCCAGCTTCTCTCCTTCCCCTTTCCCCTGCCCTCCCGGGTTTTCACAACACAACTCCTACAATCCTTGTTTTTGTCCGGAGGCCACTGTGTGCAGGGAGATTATGTGACTTCTCTGAACAGACCATCAGTTGCAGCCATGGGAGGGCGGGAAGTGACCAGATCTCAGTCTTTTTCTTTCTTTTTTTTTTTCCTTGCTTTTTTGGGTCACACCCCGGGATACACAAGGATTACTCCTGGCTCCGCACTCAGGAGTTACTCCTGACGGTGCTCAGGGGACCATATGGGATGCTGGGAACCCGGTCGGCTGCGTGCAAGGCAAACGCCCTACCCGCTGTGCTATCTCTCCAACCCCTAGATCTCAGTATTTCGAGGACTCAGCAGCCCCCAATTTCGAACTAAGACCCCTCCCCCCAAAAGAGATGAAGCTAGAGCCGGGTGCCTTACTCCGGGGAACCGAAGCCCAGAACTAATCCCCGGCGGCGGCGGGGGGGGCAAGGGAGCGCGGAGATGCCGGGCTCTGGGGTCGGTCCCACCGCCACCTCGCCCCTCTCGGCCCTCTGGCCGCCCCTCCGGCCCCTCGTCACAGGGAGGGTCTCGGATTGTGGGTTCTGGGCGCCGGCAGGAAGGCTGGGGCGCCCCGCCCGCTGGGGAAGGCGGCGCCGCGGGCCGGGTCCCGGGAACAATGCGGCCCACGCCCGGCGCGTCGCCCTGGCAACGCGCGCCCGTTGCTAGGCGACCGCGCCGCGCGCCGTAAAGCCCAGGGCGGCCGCGTGACTCACCGGGAGAGGGGCGCGCGGGCGGAGGGAGGGGGCCACCGCGCCACGCCCCACGGCCCCCCAACCCCCCAGCCCCAAAAGCTCTGTCACCCGCGCGTGAGCGATTGCCCCACAGGATGTGCTGATGTGGCTGCCCCCTGATTCACTCCAGCTGGAGAAAGGCCGCTTCCTCTGCTGCCAAGGACTGCCAAAGCCCTGGTTCCATCCCCAAGCGGAAAGGGAAAGGCGCCCCCCAGGGAGCACCCCCTCCCAACATGTTCTGCTTAACAAAAGTGTTGCTAAAACTACCCTCCCAACGCATGTTAGGGAGAGTCATTCTGATACTGAGCATGGGGGCTGGGGGCCCGAGTTAAACATATTTCTGTTGGAGGTGGTGACCCAGAGCCACGCGCAGGGGCGACCTGGAGCGCCTTGGATGGACCTTGGAGGTGGTCCCCAACCCTGCAGGTTGGGAAACCCTGGTCCGGAGGGCGGCACACAGATGGCTCAAGCTTCCCGGCTCCAATCGGGTTGACCACGGTGCTGATGGGAGCCATCTGTGTGCCGCCCACCCTCTGGGAGATGAGCTAAGGGCCAAGACTCGTTCATGAGTTCTGAATTTGCTCATCAAAAAGCAGGACTGTTTCCACAGGTGGGAGTAAATGGAACTGGCAGGGGATGGTTTGATGACCCCATGGACAAGTCGCGGGGAGGCTCGGGCCACTGTTTGTTAGCATCTCTCTACTGAGGCTCCCGGGAGGCTTCCCCTCCCCATTTTTGCTCACAGGGTTGCCCAAAAGCCTTCAGAGCCACCTTTACCCCATAGCTCTGGTTCACCCCTACCAGGATGTCACACAGTGCTGGGCTCTGAGCATCCAGGATGACTCAAAACACGGTTGCTTCCTGTAACAGCTGCTATATCCAGCAGCTTCCAGTGAGCATGACCACAAGGCATGTGAGGAGTTTCAGGAGAGGCACAGAGAAAATACCAGAACAGAGAACAGGGCCCTCTGGGCCAGAGCCAGGGGCAGCTGAAACCTTTACACTCCTGCCTGAGTCACCGAAAGGAGGCTCAGTCCACGGGCTGTGTCTCAGAAATGTGGCTTCTGGAATATTCTGGCAGGGAGGGCAAATGAACCCTTCTTGGGAAAAGACAACCCAGCCATACTGGGGGCCTTGAGATCACTTAGTCCCACACTTTGGCCCTAAGGCCGTGTTTTGTCTGACTCAAACTTCTGGGCCATTGTTTTAATTGCCTGCAATCTCAGTGGACTCATAAAACAATAAATCGAAATCCTGTTCACAAAGTATGCGTAGGTGTCCAAGATCATTGCTTCCCTTTGTAACACCCAGTGGCAGTGCAGGGAAGAGTGACCAGGAAGAGTGACCAGCACACAGAGGCAGCTCCCAACACTGGGCATTGTGATGTCATAAATGCTGAATTGCACGGGGGAAGCGGGGAGAATCATCTTGCACGGTGACACTCCAATTGACCAAAGTTAAGTCCTCGTTCGAAATGTGGCCTCCTCTTGTGGACTCCTGAGCTTCTGTGCCTCAGAAGCTCAACGAGACTGGGGCTGCCGTGACTAGCAATTGCTTTATTCTCTCCTAGGAGAGGAAAGAGGGGGGTGGAAATATGAACAAGTCCAAAGCACAATCAAAGGAAGTGAGTGCGGTGCTGTGCCCTGATTTTTGAGGCCAGGCCAAAAACTTAAAAAAAAAAAAAAAAAGAAAGAAAGAAACAAAAAATAAAAGAAAAGAAATTTCAATGTCGGGGCTCCAGAAAGGGGCTGAGTCCGAACACTGGCCACAGTTAGCAAGCAACTCACAAAATCCAGAGCCAGAAGGGATCTATTTAGGCTTTGGGAAGGTTCTAAAAGGGTCTTTTCCACTGTAACAACAACAACAACAACAACAAAATCATATAAAATGCCAAATGCAAATTCAAGCATGGGCTCTTGGAAAGGGCCCCGGTAAATGGGGGAATTGAAGTTTCCTTCCCTTGGCTCTCAGTCGGCCCCTAGGACTCCCTCCTAACCCCCTGGCCAGGAATCTGCACATTTTCCAAAGTTTCAAGGCTAAGGAGGAGACCAGGCTAGAGGGAGGTGCGGTTTTATGAGTAGAAGCAATAAAAACCCAAGAGCGCGCGGCCACGCCAAAGGGTGACTCAAGCGGGATGTGAGAAGCACGCGGAGAGGGTGGACGCGGCGAGGAGAAAAGAATTGTTCACTGCTGGGGTGGAAAGGAGGCCACGGAGGGCACCATTGAGTGGAGAAAAATGCAGCAAAGGCATCCGGAAACGCCGGCTAACTGGCTTTTCCGATACCGGGGGAGCGGTAACTTCCGAAGTCGTGGACGGGCTCCTGAGTCACGGCAAAGGAACCCGCGGCAGAAAGGCAGGAACACAAAACGATGCTCGAGGAAACTGCACTGCCCGCTGTCCCCGGGGGCGCGGCTGCGTAGCCCCAGAGTGCACTCAGAGCCCCGAATTCCAGGACGGTGACATGCAGGGTTGGGAGCGAACAACCTACGAGGCGAGGGCCCAGGGCTGGGGGAAAAAAAAAGAAAAAAGAGAGAGAGAGAGAACCACCGGGAAAGGGAGGAACCGCCACCTCCACCCTCTGCAGCCGGGCCTGGGAAGCACGTGACCCCGAGGGACCCGTGAGCAGCGGGCGCCCCCCAGCGGCGAGGTGGAGAATAGCGAGAAAGGGCGCCAGCCCCCTCTCTGACTCTATTCGTCCTTTTGTTTTTTGTTTTGTTTTGTGCTCTTTGGGTCACACCCAGCGATGCACAGGGGTTACTCCTGGCTCTGCACTCAGGAATCGCCCCTGGCAGTGCTCAGGGACCATATGGGATGCTGAGAATCGAACCTGGGTTGGCCGCGTGCAAGGCAAACGCCCTACCCGCTGTGCTATTGATCCAGCCCCCTCTATTCGTCCTTTTGAAGGGAGATGCATCCATTAAAGGGGGTGACCCTGCAGAGACGCACGGCACGGGGCAGCAAGCTGGCTGCTCACCTCCAACGGGGATGGGTGGAGAGCTGCGGAGAGCAAGCCACGACTCAGGGGAGCTTGCCTTGGGATTAGCCACAATTGGCTGCACCCCTCGAAATGGGGAGAACGGGGGAGGTGGGGGGAGCATTGGGTGAGGCATCAAGGGGTTCCTGCTGCAATGAGCTAGGTGGACCGCAAAAGGGTCCCTCAGTTCCCTGCGTTGGTACCTTTCCGTCCGTTCAGCCTTCTCCTTCGCTTCCAAGCTCCTCAGTCCTAGAAACCCAAGCCCTCCCCTGAATATAGAGCTTTCTAAAATTAGTCCTGGGCCTCACCCCAGAGTCTCAGGGTGGTGCCCAGGAATCTGCACATTTTCCAAAGTTTCAAGGATAAGGAGGAGACCGGGCTAGAATTGAACACGGCCAGGGCACAAACAAGAGGACGTGTGAAGAACCGCTTGTACTTGGCAGCGATGGGCAACAAGATGGACAATCAGCCCCGGGTATTGATTGGTCAGGTGACTTTCTACAGTTTTTGAAACTCTTCTCAAAATTTTAATTAAAAAAAAACCACTTTTTAAAAAAGAGCACTATTACCTGACTCTGTGATATTCAGACCAGAGGGTTTGTGAAAGGGTAGAAGACCTCAAGGGAGTAGAGATTTTTGTAATAGTGGTGACTCTTGACATTTTGCCTTGCATGTGGCCAACCTGGCCGACTGGAGTTCGATTCCTCCGCTCCTCTCGGAGAGCCCGGCAAGCTACCAAGAGTATCTTGCTGGCACAGCAAAGCCTGGCAAGCTACCCGTGACATATTCGATATGCCAAACACAGTAACAAAAAGTCTCACAATGTTACTGGGCCCACTCGAGTAAATCGATGAACAACAGGAAGACAGTGACAGTGACAGTGGCAGATGGAGAATCAAATCCGGCGCATTCTGCACCAACTATCCAGAGGAAGGTATCAGAGGGCATAGGAATGCCCAACCACTCACTCACTAGGGAATGCCTTCCTAAGAATTCAGGTCCTGGCAAACTCCTGTGTCACCTAATGGAACCAGCCTGCCTCCACTGAACTGCAATGAGAATGCTCAAGGCAGCATTTAATGGGGAAAGAGCAAAGGCGGGGGGGGGGGGGGGGGGGTAGTTAATCTTGCCTGCAATATTAAACCAAAGGAATTTGGATCCCAGGGGCCGTGTTTCTTGAGATAAGCTGCAATATGCCACATGGCTGAGCTAAACAGCGGCCGGCCCATTTTCTTGTCAAGATAACCCATTCCATAGCTTTTTTGCACGCAGTTCTTTTAAGAGAGGTACCTATCTTCTCAATATCCTCATTGAGTAGGTTTTCTCTGAGTTTTCTGTTCATAACTTGATAGAAGCATTTGTGACATCTGGGCAACTGTGCCCATGCTAACTGTCTGGCTCCTGAGTATCAGGAAGCCTTTTTTTGTTCCTTTTCAATGAATAAGGTTGGCTTGGCATGGGCTTGTCACTAAAGGCAAACATACCACTGTTTTTGTGGCGACCACTTCTTCAATGATCACTAAGGCAACCATGGAAAAAATTGAGTTGATTCTTACAATTCAAGAGAGATCTATATGAGGAGAGAAAAAAAATGTGATGAAAAGGGTGTGATAAGGGCCTGGAACAATAGGGCAGGTAGGGAATTGGCCTTGCTTGTGACCAACCTGGGTTTTATCTCCAGTATCCCATATGGTGCCCCGAGCACTGCCAGGAGTAATTCCTGAGTGCAGAGTCAGGAGTAATCCCTGAGCAATGCCGGTGTGACCCAATAAAGCCAAAAAGAATTAAAGGGCCACAATAAGTGTGGAAGGTACTTATTATTTTGATATTTTCGTACTTGAATGTGGCCCTTGGGACCAGTCCCTGAGGGAGGCTCATGGATTCAGTCTGAGCTTCATTCCAAATTCTTTTTCACCCTTTCTTAAATCTCCTCTTCCTTAAATTAATTGACAACTTGGTGCCACAAATATTTTATACTAATGGTACTGGGTTTCTTGCCTTATCTAAATAACACATGTACACTACATAATTTGAAAATTATGAGCTGAAGATAGAGTTCAAATCTTAAGTGATATAGACAGATTTCCAAGTCCAACAGAGCATGAAATAAAATTGAGCTAAGCAGATTCAGACCCAGTTTAGAACTGCCTAAATTTTAGTTGTTTTTGCTTGTTAAGACTGATTGGAATATAGTATTATTAATGGAGATGATTTAGTTGAAATTCTAATTTCTATTCAAGCAATGTATTAAAAATAGAAAAGATAACTCACAGTAACAGAACAGTGACAAATATCAATAGGGTATTCATAGTTGAAAACGATGAAAACATTCTTTGTGGGAGACAGAGACAATATAGAAGCTCCTTAGCTGGCCAGCTAAGATTTTTCCTCCTTCCAGATGCTATGACTTTCAATCCTTACCAAGTCACACTCATAGGGACCCACATGTCTTAAATAATAGTTTTAGTCTACCTAGGATTCACCTGGGGAGGGGATGAATACATTCCACCTGGTTGGCCCTGATGTAGTCCCTAGAAATTCTAAACAAATTGTTATTTAAAATTTATAATGCTAAGATAAAGTTCTCTGTTAAGTGTAGAAAATGTAAGCTGGACAAGAGGGGCAGATTTATGGCCTGTTCCATTTCACATGGGCTAATTTTCTTATATTTCTCTGAGCTAAGCAGATTCAGACCCAGTACGCTCTGCTGTGTACATTCGCCCGGGAGGCGGTGGATGGTCCCACCCTAAGACACACAGCTCAGGGCCTCTGGCCCATTCTGTGGGTATTAAACATCACAGGGCCAACAGCTCCACCACACTGAGGCCCAGACCCCACAGGTTATTCTTCCTAAAACACATTGAACGGGGCTCCTGGGCACCACTGCTAAATTGAAAACATCTGAACAGTTGTCACTTCCACTTTTCCTCTTGGGCTAGAAATGACACAGAGCAGGGGACCACACCCCTCCAGCCCTCTGTGAGCCAGGCGTGGTCATAGGCTCTTATTGTCCTCCAGGGAGTGTGCCTTGGCCACCTCACAGAGATCAGGGGTGGTCGAGGCAAGCAGGGACGCATCACCCCCTCTCTCACACCGTGCTCTATCTCAGATATCCTCTTTTGCTCAAGGCCCCAGAGACTATTATCCGCTTGGCCTTGAGGAGACCCAGCTTAACCTTCAGGTAGTAAGAGGGATCCCCAATACAGAGAGGGACAAGGGCCTACCCCACTCCAAACTGACACTGCCACTTAACCAAGACTCCAGCAAGCCACTGCTCCTGGCCTTCTAGGAGGCAGAGCCAGAAACGATGCCCGGGTGCAGCACTTTGTGCTGGCCTCCACGGTTCGCTCTGCACCACTGTGCTCACCCTCAACCAACCACCCGCTGCTTGCACAAGCTTTTAGGGTTGCTTTTAGGGCACCTCCAGAGAGAGACTGGCTCCCCTCCCTCCCCGCAAATGGTTGTCCTGCAAGGAGGAAAGAACACAACCCAAGGGAGGCCCACTCTTGGGGAAGTGCAGAGAACAGAAACTTAGCCCAGAAGCTACCCAGGTGGGAGACCTTCTGCCCCACTTCCGGTGGGCGGGCCTTCCCAGCCACTTCCGGTGGGCGGGGCCGCTCGCGCCCTCCCTCAAAGCCTCTGGAGCAGGGATGCTGAGGATGTGCTCAGCCACACCCAGCTGCATCCCGAGTAACGGGCGAACCCCGCCCCTCCCCGCTTGTGTCTGTTACAGATGGAGCTCCCGAAGGCCCTCTCTGGCCGGCGAACATTCCTATCTGCCATCGTCCACCTGCTATCACGCCTCCCCGCAGCACCCCTGCTCCGCCAGCTCGGGCTTGTGGGCGCACCGCAGGTGCCCCAGCCCCTGTGCCGGGAAGGTGTGGCAGCCCAGCGCCATGGCCTGCAGATGCCCCTGGATGGCCGCCGCTGCTGCACATCATCCCAGGCGCTGGTGCAACGCAGGGAGGCTGGGGATGCCCAGCTCGCCCAGCACGCCCACCGGAGTTTCCTGCGGCTATCCAGTGAGGAAATCCTGGAAGAACCAGGTTGCCGCCTCACCCCCGCTGCCTGGTTCCCCCCTCCCTCCCCAAAGGGATCATATGCGGGTAAAGAGCTAACAGCTAGCTGGAACTGTATGCTCCCTTTGCCCACCCCACAACCACCCCAATAGCCCCCTCTCCCTGGGAGAGACTAGTACAAAGCCCTGAGACTTTTTCCTGGGCTTCCCAGCAGATTGGCTGATTTGGCTGTAAATGTTCTTAAAGGGCTGAGTTAGGTCCACAGCCCTGTGAGCTGTAGGAGCCAGTTGGGGCCCCTTGGAACTGCAGAAACACGAGAAGCCACTGTTTATTTCCAAAGCACTATCTGTACCGCTCTCACCTTCCATCACTTGCCTTCTCCTCCAGCGGCCCTGGTATGGCCTTTTGTGAGATCGAAGGATCAGACCATCTCTCATGAAGCCCTTTTCTAGGGCCTCTTGTGCAAAACAAGGGCATTTGAATTTAAGCATCAGGGTTAATGATGTAAAAGAAGGGGGGAGGAAGGTGTAAAAAATGGGGGAGGGCCGGGGAGATGGTGCACAGTGCTGGAGCCCCCGTGTGACATGCTCCGGTCCCTGAGTCTGGTGTGGCCCTGGTGGTTCCCACACAGCAATGGGGTGACCCTGGTGTAGCCTGGAGGTTCCCAGGCACTTTCAAGAGTGCTCTCGTGGGGTTCCCAAGCACAAGGGACAACAAGCCCTCAATAACACGACATCAATTGGCCCAACACTGAGTATCAGGCCCACACCCGGGTCCAAGCAATCCCCAGCACGGGCTCCCAGCCCCCTGCCCCCTGCACACAGCTGAGGACGTGGAAGTTCCCTGGGCAGAGCAGCCCTTACCAATCTCCCACCAACAAAACAACCATGTGCGGTGCAGTGGTCAGCATGTTTTGTGGTACACCCACCCAGCACCCCAGGACAAAGGAGAGAGACCCCCTTCCTGCTTGGAGTGCTGGTGCCCTAGGGAGACCCACCTGTACAAACAGGTGCTGAAGCCCAGGATAATGTATCATGTGCCATCCTGCGCTGGGCGGAGTTAGAAAGGAGATGGAAGGGAAAGATAAACATGTGTTTACATTTTACAATAAGTGGTTATGGTGCCACTTAGCAAGGCCCCAAGCCCAGGCAGGAAACCACTTACCAGACTGACGAACTGGGCAGTGCTGGCCTCTGCCAAGCTGCCATCCACATGTTCAGAGAGACACTGACTGGGAAGATGGCCCCTGGGGCTGAAGCACAGGCCTTGCATAAAGGAGCATCAGATTTGCTCCCTGGCAACCACCTGGTCCCCTGAGTACTGCCCGGAGTGGCAATAATACTAATACAAATAATAAGATTCATAATGGGAGTTGGTAAGTGCCTGTGGACAGGCCCTGGAGCAAGAAACTTGACAGTGAAAAGTTCTTAACTCCAACGGTAGACAAGAACAGAGCGACCTGGCCCCTTGTGTGCGTTTCAGGGCAGAGGTACCGACGTTCCAATGAACTCACACCACCAGCCAAGAGAGATGAGAAAGGACTACTGGAATTTGCCACGCTGCAAGGCCCACGTCACCCCACTCTCCGATTTGGAGGGCAGCGGTTAATGGAGAGAGCTTTCCTCCCCCACCCTCCCTCAGGACTCGTGGCAAGTATGTGGCAACTAACTCTATGCCATTGAGTTGGGTCTCTGGGTTCTAGGTTGCTGTGATCTGTCTCTTTCCTCCAACCCACCCCCACCCTCACCCCACCCAAGGATGGCCAATTCTTTCCAGGGTATCCTTGTCCCAAGGCAGAAAGTAAAGACAGCAGGAACTGGTAGAGTTCACCAATGGGAACACACACACACACACACACACACACACACACACCAGTTCAGATGAGAAGCCCTCTTGCTGTCCAGTTTTCCAGGGCTCTACGGGAAAAGCTTCAGTTTTTCCTCCATTTTTCTGTGTCAGAAGGAAGGGGAAGGAGGGTGGAGGAAGCGCAGCATCAGTGATCACTGCAAAGGTCAATGAAAGGCTTGTCCCGCCATGGGAGTTTGTGAAAATTCCCTGATTTCTTCGTAGATGATGCAGTGAACAGAGGACATGGGAAGAGCAGCCCCCCCCCCAACACACACACACACTTAGACCTCAGGTTCCCTGCCGGTTCCAGTGACAACCCCTCTCTGCTGCTCTGCCACCTCAGGCTTTCACCTCTAGCGGGGTCTGTGTGGGGTCTTCAGGGTCACTGACCTCTTGGGTTGAGGGTCCCTGCTCCTCCGATTTCTCCTCCTCAGACATCCTCTGCTTATCCCTGGGAGCCATCGGACTGGAATTCATCAGTTTCCTCATATTACTAATGGACATTCAGCTCACGGGGCGCCCAGGCTGCGGGCTCCAGCTGGGCACGCTAGTAACCGTCTCCTCCATCCAGTCGGGTGAGCCTGCAGGCGGCTGTGGAAGGCTGGGCAGGTGGGCAACGCGGGGCCCCGAGGTGCCAGGTGGTGGAGAAATGGCCACTGCAACTGGGACATCTGATGGGAGCTTTTGCAAATTGTCTCCTAGTATTTTGCATGATTTTGCAGATGCAAAGTCACTTGGGTTTCCTTTGCCCTGATGACACATGCACAGTCCAAAAGTGTGTTGGATGAGGTCACAAATGCACAGAGAGGACAAAGAGGGGTGGCCCAGGTACAGCGTGACATACCTCCCACCTACCCTCCCACCCCATCCTCCCCTCGCCCTAAACCCGGAGAGCAGATGAGCCTGCAAGGGCCTACGCAGAGCAGCTGCCCTGAGAATGAGCTGCCCAGACAGGAGGCCCCACGGGCACAGCGCCTGCCCGGCCACCTCCACTGGACCTCCCGCTCTCCCGCTCCCAGCCCCAAGTCCTGCCCCTTCTCCCCGTCCACTGGCTGCAGAGCCAAACTTTGGTCCCCGTGTGATCCGGTCCTGTTGCTCCTGCCACCGACCCGGCTGTGTACATGGTGCTGGGAACGGGATGGATGTCGGAGAGCTTATGGCACTTCCATCTCATCCATAGCTCAGGACTCAAATACGAAAGGGCAGAGACATGGAGAAGTACCCTCAAAACGTGGACTGCGACCCATTCCCTGGGCATTTTTTCATCCAACTAGAGTGGCCATCAAACTCCCCCTAGCCCCAACCCCCAAACTCCCCGAGCCATGAAGACCAAAAGCGGTTGGCGACCTAATGGGTCAGTCTTTCCCAGAAGAGAAGACCTGGCACCAGGCTCTGCTCCTGATCCAAATGAGGATGCAGCACGGAGCTGGGTCCTAGTCTACACCCCCCTACTCATAAGACGTGCCGTTTGACACCCTCTTTTTCCGTGCCCACATCACCTACTGGCTCGCTTTGGCAATCCATTGTCTTCCCCCTTTTGTGTGTCTCCAAGCAGGCACTGGCCTCCCCCGTGTCGCGTGCCCACCCCAGCCTGAGTGAGGCCGCGCTCAGGAACACACAGGACCAGCACTGGGTCTCAAGAGCATCCAACTAACCTCCCCCAACTTCCTGTTTCCGGGGCCTCCCAGAACACAGATGTAGGGCTCGCCAATTTGGGGGATGCCTTTTTGATGGGGTTCCCCTCAGTCCTTGTCACTTGATTGTATCCAGCTGGAACCCCTGCCTTCTGTGCCTGAGGACCACACTGAGATGCCTGGGGGGGGGGGGGGGGGGACTGAGAGGCCTCTGGACTTGTGGTCAGTGTTCCCAGAACGCTGCACCAAAGAGGCACAGGGGAACCCTGGAGAGGGCCGAGTACTCACAGGAAGATGAAGAGGATGGAGGGATAATACGGCTTGCCGGGTCCCAGCCAAGAAGCACTTCCATCTTGAAGGGGGCAGAAGGTTAAGAGGAGGCGCAGTCTTGGGGGGCGGGGGAGGGCCCTGGGCACTGAATCCTGCGGAGCTGGAGTGAGTCTAGGGAATTGGGCAGGGCTGACTCTGCGGCCGGAAACGCGGCACACGTCACTGCACTCCTGGTCTTTCTCTTACCCATTGACCTCCCCAACTCAAGCCCAGAGTCCCCAGCAGACCGGCCACCTGCCATCCCCAGCAGACAGCCCACCTGCTATGCCAGCACTTTCTGGCCCGCCCGGACCTCCCAGCACATTCTGACTGCCGTCTCTGGTCTGTCCATAGCTCGGCCCGGGCTGCCTTCACTCCCCGCGTGGCGGCGGCTCCCGCCACCTTCCATCCGTCCACCAAGATCAAGTGCCAGCTCAGTGAGCATTTTCAAGAAGCCCCCGGCTGCCCACCACACCAGCAGCATCAGCGTGTCTTCACAGCGCCGGCACGCGTAGCCGTCACCAGGCCTGCCATGGGCCGATGTGTCCACCGGAACTGACGGGGCCGTCCGGATGCTGAGCAGGGCAACGGCCGGGCTGCCTGGATGCCAGGGGGTGTTAGGAGTAAGAGGGTTTGGAGATTTGGCTGAGCCCGAATGTACCATGCCGTTAGCAACATGCTCATGCCAAACACGGCTGTCTCCGAGTGATTTTTCCGAGGCTGGGGGTGGGGTGTGGCGGGTGGCCCCGTTTCAGCTGCTGCCATTCCATCCCATGTCCCCCCAAATCACGCCTTCCCCTTGCCCATTTCTACCCATTCTGGTCATAAGCCGGTTCTGGAACTCACAGTGGAGACGGTCAAACCCAGTTCCTGCTTTGGGCGGGGGACCATATCCAGTGGCCTTGTCTCTGGAACTTGGGGGCAGAGGGACGGTTCCCTGCCTACTGAGGGGAGCTGGGGCTGCCCCAGGAGCCAGGCGTGGGGGGCACTGAGGGGATGAGGCGTGCAGGTGAGACTGAGCCCACCCGGCGGGAACTCAGGGGCCCTGGGTCAAGGCAGCACCCGGAGTGCCCGGGACTGGTCCACTTCCCGAAACCGTCCCCAGGGTCCCTTCAGATGGCGTTCGTCGGGGCACCTCTCCTCTGGGCAGCCCCCCATCCCACGCCGCATCAGATGGAGAAGAGCAGGAGCGAGCACTTGCAGGGCTCCTTTTCGGAGTCTTTTATTTGTTCTGGAACAATTCACATTTCCAATGGTGCTCTCCGCCCACACCCCAGCAGCAGGCTGGTCTTCCAAAGGGCCAGCGTTCACATTCATACCAGGGGTGGGGCACGGGGGCGGGGGGGGGGGGGACAGTCACCGCTGTTTCAGGGGGCCGGGGCTGGCGTGCAGCTTGGCTGGACCCACAGTGGGGCTGGGAGGGAGAGGTGGCGCTCCCAGCCGAGACGCAGGGTGATCCCCCTGCTCAGGGGTGTGCACGTCACACACGGAACCCCAGTGATTGCCGTCCTGGCCGCGCAAGGGGATGACAGAGCCCAAACTGGCTTGGGCGTCGTGAGGACAGAACACCAGGAAGGTGGGTTTGTGTGCACCGTGAGCTGTAAGGGGTCACGACACTTCCCTTCACATCTCTTTCAGACTTCTGGGACTCGTCCAGCACAAAAGTTTTCTGCCCCAAAACAGCTCTCCGAAACCCGGCCCTCACAAACCACCTTGCATGTAGCTCCAGCCAAGAGAGGCCAAAAGAGGCCGAGAGTGGGCAACAGTGGCCGACAGTGGATGCCTTCCTGGGGCACGGCTGGAGACCAGGTCTCAGCCCACCCTCCTCCCCAGGGCCCTGCGTCCCCCTGCCCTGTGGCATGGCCACAGACACGGGAGGGCCCAGTGTGCACCCACATTGCAGGGTTAGACACAAATCAGTCCCTGGAACTCTCTACCAGACCACGTTGGACCTGAGGCTTCTTAGCTACCCCATAAGGGAGCCTGACCTCAGCCCACCCTGGGGCCCCTCTAAAGTTACCACCGAAGCGGAACCCACCAAAGCCTCCAAAAGGCTGGAAATGAAGACAGGGGCAAGGGGGCAGCCCTGACAAGGTCAGACCTACAGGTCAGGCCTCGGGCCTCTCATGGTACCTCCTGCAGCCATTTCCTGTTACAGGTGACTGCTTGAGGGCACACACTCCCTTTCTATCTGGGACCCTTAGCTTTCTGGAATCTCTAGACTTCTCCAGAATCCCTTTATTAATGCAGAGAGAGAGAGAGAGAGAGAGAGAGAGAGAGAGAGAGAGAAAGAGAGACAGAGAGAGAAGAGGGGGGAAGAGGGGGGAGAGGGTGGGGAGAGAGGGAGAGAGGGAGGGAGGGAGAGAGGAGAGAGGGAGAGAGAGGGAGAGAGAGGAGAGGGAGAGAGAGGGAGAGAGAGGGAGAGAGAGGGAGAGAGACCCTGAGTGGCAGCGGGGATGACCTACAAACGAGAACAAAGCTGCCCTCCGCCGCGAGCCTTGGCTTCTGGCCACGTGAGCGCTGACCTAGAAGCGAAGCCGAGAACTCAGTCGAACATGGGTGCAGAAAGGGGAGGAGGAACCCCCGGGGGTGCTCAAGAACTTAACCCATTACAAAAGGGACAGTATTTACAGAGGAAGTTTTTTTTTAAAAAAAAATGCTTCGGAGGAAGGGTGGGGAGGGGATGTGGGGGCTCAGGAGGAGCCCGGACCCCACACCAGCACTCGGGCAGCAAAGCACAGGCCCCTCACGACACACACACAGCAGAGAGAAGGTGGCAGGGGTCCTCGGGGGGATGGCGCGGACTCAGGCCCGTCTGCACTGAGTGACCCAGGCAACGGGACCCCTGGGAGCAGGGGCTGGTCAAAGGTGGGCCATTGATGCCTGTCCCTTGTCCTTGTCCGTAGGGTCCTCCAGGACGAGGGGGGCACGTGGGACGTGGGGCTGGCGACACTCCAGCTCCCCATCTGCTCCCTGCTGCAAGGGTGGGAGGGAGGACCCTGCCCCAGGCTGGCGTCCCTTAGGAGGGCAGCATCCGGGGACCCCACTTCTGGGCCGTCCTCTCCAAAGCGGCTCACCCCACTGCGGCAAGACACTCGTCACTTCCCGGCGGCTTCCCAGAGAGCAGAGGGGAAGGGAGAATCCACCTCTGCAAACTCCCCCTGAAGGCCGAAGGGGTGGGCGCAGGGGTTGGGGGGAAGGTGCTGTCCACCCGGGAACGCTCGGGGTCACGCAGAGGAAGAAGCGAGGCCCCAGCTGCCACCATTGCTGGCGTGCCTCGGGGCAGACTGCACGACAGCAGGAGATACCGCAGCTCTGTCTTGTCACCGGATTAGACCTAGGGGGACAGGGCAGTGGTCAGAGATGGTTCAGGAAAGGCAGGAACTGAGAGGGAGGGCCCAGAAGCACAGGGACCGTCCCTGTCCACACACTGACCGGAGCGAGACCACACCGTGGACATCATCTTCCGGCAGTGCTGACACCCTCTCTCCCCGGTACCTTGTGGAAGCCCCTGCACCCCCGCCCCCCGGCACCCCACATTGGCAGAAGTTCCGGCCAGAGCTGTACCGGTTCCCGGAAATATCCCCTGCCTGGGGCCAGGGCGAGCCTGCCCACCTGGTAGGGAGAGTCCACGAACTTGATCCTGGACAGGAACCGCCGCAGCTCGCCCCGGCCCACCCTGGACCCGGCCTCCCGCAAGGCCACCGCCTGGGCCTCCATCAGCGCCCACCGCAGGCTGAGTTTGCTGACCAGCAGGGCCGCCGGGCGGGCTTCGGCGTTGGGCCCCGTGCTCCTGGTGACATAAAAGGCATCTTTCCAGAGGTCGTTAATGCCGACTGCAGAAGGACGGAAGGACGGAAACGAGATGTTAGTGGGGGTGGGGAGCGGCTTGGCAACGCGTTCCCTCGCTCTCCATCTGAGGGGGGCAGGGACCCACAGGGAGGGACCCGTGGGCAAGGGCCTCTCGAAGGAAGGCCCAGGTCCAGAAGTGAGTGGGGGGCCGGGGGCTGGAGCGATAGCACAGCGGGTAGGGCATTTGCCTTGCATGCGGCCGACCCAGGTTCGATTCTCAGCATCCCACAGGGTCCCCTGAGTACCGCCAGGAGTAATTCCTGAGTGCAAAGCCAGGAGTAACCCCTGAGCATCGCCGGGTGTGACCCAAAAAGCAGAAGTGAGTAGGTAAGTCTGATCTGGGGAGAATTCACCTGAAAAGTTAACAGACTCGGAAGTCTGAGAAGAGAAATATGAGACGGCCATCCATGCACACAGCAGCTCTTGTTTTGTTCTGTTCTGTTTGTTTGGGGGCCACAGCTGACAATGCTCCTGACTCTGAACTCAGGAATTCCTCCCGGTGGGGTTCAGGAAACCATATGGGATGCTAGGGATCGAACCTGGGTTGGCTTTACTATCACTCTGGGTCCCCCCCCCCCCCCACACACACACAAAAGCTCTTTACCTACTTGGTGTTTGCTCTGCCTTTTTTTGAAATCAGAATTGCAATACAGTCTTAATTACTATTGCTCAATGCAAGCTAATTTTATGCAAAAATTCAGATCCACTCACAGGATTCTGAGCACTGATAACCTGCCCCTCTGGTTCTCTCTCTCTCTCTCTCTATCTATCTATCTATCTATCTCTATCTCTCTCTCCTCTCTCTCTCCCTCCCGCAGTCCCTCCTTGTCCCTCTCTTTCTCTATCTCTCTCTCTCCCCCTCTCTCTGTCTCTGTCTCTCTCTTCCTCTGTGTGTGTCTCTGTCCCTGTCTCTCTCTCTCCCCTTCTCTCTCTGTGTGTCTCTGTCTCTCTGTCTCTGTCTCTGTCTCTCTCTGACTGTCTTTCTCTGTCTCTCCCTTTGTGCGTGTGTGTTTCTGTCCCTGTCTTTGTCTCTGTCTGTGTCTCTCTCTCTCCTCCCCTCTCTCTCTGTCTGTCTCTCTGTCTCTGTCCCTGTCTCTGTCTCTGTCTCTCTCTCTCTTCTCAGTGTACCCAATCATTGGCAAGCCTTTTCCCTTCAGCCTCTAGACAAACACCCTGGCAGGAAAGACAGGGTGAGTGGTGAAAGAAGGGGAGGTTTGCCCTGGCAGCGCCCACAGGAAGCAGGCAGCCCCTGGGACTCCAGGGGAGTGATTATCAGACTGCCAGAACCACGGACTCCGGATGTGACCCCCAACTCTGCTGCATGGTGCTGCCTGGGCTACCAGCCCTGAGACGGGCCACCAGCCCTGAGACACTGGGCACACACTTGCTCTCCCTTCAGACCATGGCCCCGTTTTCCCGGGTAGTGGAAGGAAAGGGCCCCGAGAGCATGCTCAATCCAGGAGGGGACCCCCGGCTTCTACCTGAAAGAACGGGCTGCAGGTGCCCTGGACGTGGTCGCACACTCCTTGGCGGGAGCCCTGGCCGCAGGGAGAGGCCCGCAGGCCCCGCCCTCACCACACAGCCTCTGCCCTGCAGCACTCCCGCACCTGGCACTCACCCTTCGACGCTGTCACGGTGCCTGTGGCGTTGGCCAGATCCAGGAGGATCGAGGGGAACGTGGGGTGCAGGAGGTAGAGGTGGTAAAGGCCGGGTGGCTCGGCCGTTGGGGGGGTGCCCTGAGCAGGAGAAGCGGAGCAGAGCAGAGACTCAGATTCCCGGCAGAACACGCTTTCCTTCCTCACTGTACCCCCCAGAGCCAAGGATGCCGCTCCCTGGCGGCCAGGAAATGCTTTCTGCTCTCAACAGAACACAGAAAGGCCAGGAGATAGCACAGGGATCAGGTGCTGGCCTTGCACGCGGCCCATCCCAGTTGGATCCCCAGCACCCTGGATGGTCCCCAAGCACTGCCAGCAGCGATCCCTGAGTGCGGGGCCAGGAGTAAGCCCTGAGCACCGCCGGGTAGTCCCAAATCCAGGGAACAATAAAGAGGAGGAACACGCAAAGGAAGAGGAGAAAGGCCCAGGGAGAGGTGCCCCACTCACCGCAGCCGGGAGCGCCTGCGCCCAGAAGAGGAAGACGGACTTCCGGTCTGACGTGACGGCCGACGTGGTGGGGCACTCCCTCAGGTGGCACGGGACGCTGGCGTTCCACACCTCGGAGCCCGAGTCCCCATCCACCACCAGCATCTGCGGGGAGGAGACAGTGAGCGGGGCCAGGCCCCTGACGCGGCCCCCACGGAGACACCAGGCCCACAGCACCACTGAGAACGCAAGTCCCAGGTGCTCCGTGAGCAGAGGCACCTGGGGCCGAGACAGCGCAGTCATTCCTCCACCAGCTCAACCTTTTCCATGGAGGACTCTCCTTGCTTCCTCCCGGTGCGCCTGCCCCATCCCGCAGCTCAGCCTCCAGGCTCCTGACACGGCCCCTTGCCCTGACTCGAACCTCTGGCCCCCCAGAAATACCATAGGGGATTCCTAGGAATACGTTGATTGGGAAGCAATAATCTAGTCCCCCTTTCACATGACACAGGAGGCAGAGATGCTGTTTTGATGATGGTTCCCCAAAGAGAACATTCCAGAGCAACAGTCTGGGCAGAGTCAGACACCTGACCTTGCTTCATTCCCCAGAAGGCAGCATCCAGGGGAAACAGGACTGAGTGTGTGAGCACCCCCTGGCTGTGGATGGAGGGCTCCTTCCCAGGATTGCTGTGCTGTGCTCTCTGCCCAGGGCTCTCTCTGCATGCAGTGCTCCTGCCCAGGATTCTCCTACATGCAATGCTCCTACCTGGCGTTCTCTCCACATGCAACTCTCCTGCCCCAGGCTCTCTCTGCATGCAATGCCCCTGCCCGGGAATTATCCTGCATGCAGCTCTCCTGCCCAGGGCTTTCTCTGCATACAGTGCTCCTGCCCCGGGCTCTTTCTGTGCTGCACTCTCTGCCTGAGGCTCTCTGTGCCCGAGGCTCTCTCGACACTCCTGCTCGGGGCTCTCTGCGTGAAACCCTCCTGCATGGTACTCTCTGCACAGAGCTCTCTGCACAAGACTCTTTGCATGAATGCTCTGTCCACGGTGCTCTCTGCAGAGACGCTCTCTGCACAATACTCTCTCTGCACACATGCTTCTGCACTCAGGCAGCAGCAGCTCGGCTGCAGGACGCAGGGCATCTCAGATCCACCAGAGCACTGACCCACAGGCCCCCAAAGCAGTTAGTTCAGAGGAAATGCACCCCGTGGCATCTCTCAGAGGATGAGTGTGTGTCTAAGTGCTCCTGTGTGGGTATATGCAAATGGGTGGGAGTGTGTCTGTGTGTCTGAGTGTGAGAGAGACCGTGTGTGTGTGCAGACGTATGTGTGCGTGTGTGTGTGTATGTGTGTGTGTGTGTGTGTGTGTGTGCAAGGAGGAGCCAGGGCTGAAACCCTGAGGCCCCTGCTCCTAACCAAGCCCCCCACCACGCCCCCTCAACCAGCTAAGGAGCACCCCCAACTCCAACCCCCGCCCAAAACTCCTCCTATGCCCTATCAGATGTCCCTTCCCCACCTTCACCTGCTGGATCCCCACCCCGCCCGTGGCTCGCCTGGGGTGAATGTGCCCCTTAGCGGCCCTGGCCAGCTGTCTCCCGTGACACTGCATTCCATCAGCGCTACACAATTACAGCTCACATGAACCCAAAAACCTAAATGACTGATCTGAAAATTCCACTCCTGCAAACTGCTGGTCACAAGAGTGGAAACTGGATCCTGTCCCTGGACTGGGACCCACGACACGCCCCCTCACGGAAACCACAGCAGCCCTCGGGGACAGAGCTGCTGCCCTCCAGGACTTTCCACACGCTCTGCCATCATACTACTCAAAGCCAACCGCTCCTCTCTCCCATTTCAGAGAAACCTCCAGAATCACCGGGGCCGCTTCTCAGGGCCCCAAGCCATGGACAGGCCGCGAGGAGCCACATTTACTCACACCCGCCTCCCCCCTCGCCCTCACCACAGTGACCCCCAGAGGTGCCGAGGCCCATCTCCACCGGCACAGGGAGGAGAGAGGCTCGCAGCAGGCCCTGCGCTCCGAGCTGCAGGGAGTTCTTCCTCTCTTGGGGTTCTTCGAAGGAAAGGGCCCGCGTTTAGTTCTTCCTTCTCAGTGCTCCAGGGCCACCAGCAAGTGCTCTTGCTGTGTGGGCCCGAAGCTTTGGTGCTCAGGAGTTACCACGGCCATACCCAGCAGCGCTTAGGAACCAGCAGGATGTCAGAGCTGCGGGCACTGGGCTCAGGGCCTTGTGCAGGCCAGGGGTGTGTCCCTGCTCCCAGAGCTTAGGGACTTCACCCTGCACTGCTCAAGGTTGGACACGGAGCACCTCCCCGACCGACAGACATTCCGGCTACTCAGAGACATCTTTTACCTTTTTCATCCCCGGTCCATCCTGGACCTGCAGAAGGAAGTCCAGCGTCTGGTCATCGGTGAAATACCCGGGTGTGGGCTGGCTGCGGGAAGCAAGGGAAGCCCCGGAGAAGTCGTCAGAGACCCCGGGTGCCCCCAGAATCCCTCCCCCAGCCCCCATTTCTGCATCCATCTGGGAACCCAAGCCGCGGATCACAGCGGCCGATCTTGAATCCCCAGCGGGGTTTGGATCCCGGCCTGGCTCTGCTGGGCCCCGTCCTCTCTGGGGCATTATCCCTTACAGGACAGTGGGTCCTCACAGCCCGCAGGAGGGGGTCCTGCCCACCTGAACAGGCCTTGGAGTTGCAGCGTCCAGTGGGGCGTGAGGTTCTGCCCGTGCAGCAGGGTGAGGCCCTGTCTGGTGGTGATGAGCAGGTCGCTGCCGTTGGAATCCGGGGCCTTCACCATCTGCAGCAGCTCCACGCCGTCACTGGGGAGAGACCACGGTCAGCTCAGCACGTGACATGCCTGCACGCCTCACCCCCCAGCCACGGGGAGCACCATTGCCCAACCCCCAGAACCTTCTCTCCCAGGGCTCTAAAGCCCAGCTCCCTAGAGAAGGAAGGGGGGGGGGGCGGGAGCACTCGGAAACGATTTACACGCCTTTCAGGGACGGAGCCCCAGGGGGAAACATGAGAATAGGCAGGGAATAAGGGTTTAAGGGGTGGGTTGGGACGCTGGGGTGGGGGGAGGGCATGTCTTGACCTGCATCTCTCTAAACTGAACATCCGCTAGTTTACTGAGACTCTCTGAGGTTGCCCAAAAGCCAGCCCCACACTGGGGCTCTGACGGGCAAACCCCACTGTTCAGGACAACACATTTCAAGGGATGGGAAGGAAGGGTCACGGTCACGGTCCTCCCGTTGTTCATCGATTTGCTCGAGCGGGCCCAGTAACGTCTCCATCATGAGATTTGTTGTTACTGTGTTTGGCATATCGAATACGCCACGGGGAGCTTGCCAGACTCCGCCGTGTGGGCGAGATACTCTCAGTAGCTTGCCGGGCTCTCCGAGAGGGGCGGAGGACTCGAACTCGGGTCGGCCATGTTGGCCGCTTGTAAGGAACAACATAAAGATTTCGTGGCGGGGTGGGAGTGATAATACAGCGGGTAGGGCGTTTGCCTTGCACGTGGCCAACCAGGGTTCAATCTCTAGCATCCCATAGGGTCCCCCAAGCACTGCCACGAGTAATTCCTGAGTGCAGAGCCAGGAGTAGCCCCTGTGCATCGCCGGGTGTGACCCCCCAAAAAAGCAAATAAATAAATAAATAAAGATTTTGTGGCTCCCAGCCTTTGTTCCTCTCCAAAGCTTCAACTAAGAGAAAAGTTCAGAAGAGGAGGGTGAATCACTTGGGCCTCGATACCTGGGAGACACCTTCCACCCACCCACCCCTGACCTCCTGTGGAACCAAAACACGCCTTCCTGGCACCCAGCACATGGCCAAAAGGCAGGGCTCAGCTCACTCTGCTCGCCCGTGTCTACCGGATGGGAAAATGGTCCCTGGAAGCTGAGACACCCCCCCACACACACACACACACACCGGGCCCACAGAGCCTGCAGCCTGTCCTGTGAGAGCCCCCGCCCCCCCGCCCCCGGTGCCTGGGCCCACTCAGTCAGCCGCGCCCACCTGCAGACATCAATGAGATCAGACAGGTTGACGGATCTCCGCTTCTTCTCCCACTCTGGCTCCTCCACCAGCAGCGAGGCCGGCGCGCTGTCCCGATTCTGGGCCTGAACAAAAATGTCCCGCAGGGCGACAGCTTGGATACTTCCTAGCGCCACAGGGAAGAACCAACACTGAGAAGCTGGAAGTGTCAGGGGACCTGGGCCAGACGCTCAGAGGCGGCCCTGGGCTCCAGGGAGTCCACCCGCCCGGCCATACAGTCAGGAGGAGGAGCCAAGTGGACGCTGGACAAGGGCCCTTCTTTTGTGATGTGTGTATGTGTGTGTGTTATGTGTGAGGGGAGTGTGTGTGAGAAGTGTGGCGAGTTTGAGGGGGAGAATATGTGTGGGGGTTGTGAGGGGTGTGTGTAGTGTGTGTGTGTGAGGGGTTTATGTGTGTATATGAGGTATTGTGAGGGGTGTTTCTGATAAGTGTGTGTAAAGGGTCTGGGGAGAGTGTGCATGTGAGGGTGTGTGTGTGTGTGTGAAGGTTGTGTGTGGCATGTGTGTGAGGGGGTTGTATGTGTGAGAGGGGTTTGTGTGTGTATGTGAGGTATTGTGAGGGGTGTGTCTGAGAAGTGGTGTGTAAGGGGTGTGTAAGGGATCTGGGGAGAGTGTGCATGTGAGGGTGTATGTGTGTGAAGGTTGTATGTGACGTGTGTGTGAGGGGTTTGTGTGTGTGTGTGTGTGTGTGAGGGCTATATGTGGTTGTATGTGGGTGAGGGGTATGGAGGGGGGAGTGTGTGAGGGTGTGTGAGAGGTATGTGTGAGGGGTGCGAGAGGTGTGCATGAGGTGTGTGAGAGGTGTGGGGGGAGTGTGTGAGGGTATGTTTGTAAGAGGGGTGTAATATGCATATGAGTGGTGTATGTGAGGGGTATGTGTGAGGGGTGTGGGGTGGAGTGTGCATGTGTGAATGGTGTAATGTGTGAGGTCTGTGTGAGGGATGTGTGGGTTGTGGGGAGAGAGTGAGGGCTATGTGTGGTAAGTGTGGTATGTGTGTGTGTGAGGTCTGTGTGAGGTATGTATGGTATATGTGTTGGTGTGTGGTGTGTATGGTATGTGCATAGGGGTATATGGTGTGTGTAGAATATGTGGGGTGTGGGTATCCAGGGTTTGTTTGTGTGGCATGTGGGGTTGTATGTGGAGCATGTGGATACGAATGTGTGGTATGTGAGCGGGTGTGTGTGGGGGGGTGGAGGATGTATTTCTGTGGTGTAGAAAGAGTGTGTGTGGTAATGTGGTGTGTGGGTGGGTGTGTGGTGTATGGTATATGTGTGGTGTTTGTATGTGTGGTTTGTAACATATGTGTAGTGTGTGGGGGTATGTGGGGGCTGTATGTGTGGTCAGGTGTATGTGGTCAGTCATGTGGTGTGGGAGCTGCACGTGGAGTATGTGCATGTAGGGTTATAAGTATAGAGGCTGTATGTGGGGGGCATACCAGGGTGTATGTGTGATGTATGCGTGGTGTATGGTGGTGTGTATGTGTGTGTGTGTATGCGACATGTGTATGATGTGGGGGGTGGCAGGTGCTTTTTCAGGGGCTCGCTCCCAAGCAGTACTCAGAGGGCCCTGGGTCTGTTCCCGGTGACTCTCAGTCCTATGGATTTGGGACCCCCAAGGTCACACCTGGGGGTACTGAGGGCCACCAAGCACTGAGGATACAGAAAGCATGTGAGGCCGGGCCTGCAGACAGAGCCTCCGGGGGTGCCCGAGGTGGTCCTTGATTCTTACCGAAGCCAAACAGGACATAGACGGCCCCATTGCCGGTGATGTAGACCTGAGGGCCGATCAGGTTGCCCACGCCCATGATGTTGTAGTTCACGGGGCGGCCCACGGGAGTCCCGGTGCGGCCGGACACCAGCAGAAAGCAGAGATCCGGCTGGGGCGGGGAGAGAAGGAAAAGAGTGAGGCCACAGCCCAAGGACCCACCCAGCCCTTCCAGCCTCACTTGACTTCCCTGGAAGAAAGAATGTGAGGGGCCGTCCCATTTGCCCGAGACAGGCACAAAGGCCCGTTAGCGTCACTTGTCACTCAGCAGTTTCTTTCAAGCTCATGAGCATTCTCCTAGGCACAGACTCCCCCACCCCAACAAGTAACCCCTGGTCCTAACTGATCGACCATCTCCCCATAGGCCCTGCAGGCCCAGCTTGGCTGCCAGGAACTTTACTCTTGAACAGAGACGGGCAAACGTTTTCCAAGAATAAACACATGGCAGATAATTTAGGTTTTATGAACCCAGTGGTCTCAGTAGCAACAACTCAACCTGTCACAATGGTGTGAATGCAGCCACAGAAAACACGGGCACAAACAGGTATGTCTGGGTCCTAACACTGTCTACTGCTGTTACATAGAGTTTTCTTTGGCAGACAGCAACGTCCATGGGGAACCAATAAAGTGTGAAAAATTGCAGTGATATGCTGTAATAAAGATGCTTAACAAAGTTCATCATCATGACTTCTTATGGGCAAGGTCAAAAGATAAAGATTTTCATTGTACCCAGATACGAATCAATGCCGGTTCAGGGGAAGATTTTTGGTGGCAGGCCACGCACTGGAGAGGATCCATTCTTGTAAGCTGCCCTGACAAGGCTTAAGTAAACAGACTTCAAACTTATTGCAAAGCTGACAGGGATAAACGTGTATGCTGCCTACAAACTCAGAATTCAAAAACGCCTTATGCTGAAAGAGGGCCCAAAATCTTGGCAAATAAACTGGACCAGATTCGCTGAAAGACGCAGGTGCCTTGATTATTATAAACAAGAACTGAAATTTGGGGGCTGGAGTGATAGTATAGTGGGTAGGGCATTTGCCTTGCACGCGACCAACCCGGGTTCGATTTCCAGCATCCCATATGGTCCCATGAGCACTGCCATGAATAATTCCTGAGTGCAGAGCCAGGAGTAACCCCTGAGCATCACCGGATATGACCCCCCCCAAAAAAAGAACTGAAATTCAGATAAGGCTATCAACATCCTGGGCCGCGGTCACAGCAATGGGAGTCCACATCAAAATCAGCAGCCTGTCCCTTCCACGACAGCCCTCGGAACAGACAGGTGCTGCAGAGACGGGCCCCTCAAGAGATGAGAAAAGGGGGGCAGGGCAATAGGACAGAGAGGAGGCTGCTTGCCTTCCCCGCAGCTGATGCAGCTTTGATCCCCAACACCCCATAAGGTCCCCCAAACACCACCCTGAGTGATACCTGAGCACAGAGCCTGGAGTAAGCCCTGAGTCCCACCAAGTGTGGCACTCTCCCCGCCTCGAAATAAATAAATAAAACCTGAACTGAGTTCAGAAATGAACGTCAAAATCTCTCTTCCTTCTTTTCTCACAAATACCAGGCACTGCCTAGTAGCGTAAAGCAGAACTTCTCTGATCTTGGGGTTCACAGGGTACTCTGGGATCTGCGGAGCTGGTCTCCTGGCAGGGAACTGTAACACGCTGATGGGTGTAAGGTCCTAATTCTCCCCCACATACACTTCACGGGCTGGAGTGATAGCACAGCGGGTAGGGCATTTGTCTTGCACGCGGCTGACTGGTTTGATTCTTCCGCCCCTCTCAGAGAGCCCGGCAAGCTACCGAGAGCATCCCACCTGCACGGCAGAACCTGGCAAGCTCCCTGTGGCGTATTTGATATGCCAAAACAGTAACAACAAGTCTCACTATGGAGACGTTACTGGTGCCTGCTCGAGCAAATCGATGAAGAACGGGAGGACGATGCTACAGTGCTATAAACTTCACAAAAATCCCACCCACTTGGGGACCAGAATGATACTGCAGTGGGTAGGGCACTTGCCTTACATGTGGCTGTCCTGGGTTCGATCCCCAACACCCCACATGGTCCCCTGAGCCTGCAGTGACACCTGAGCTCAGAGCCAGGAGTTAAGCCCTGAGCACTGCCAGGTGTGGGTCCCTCTCTCCCTGCCACCCCCAGGAGGAACAAAAAATCACAACCACAAACAGGAAAACAATTGAAAGTGAAATAAGCTAACAGATGAGGCAACAGGATTGGAACCCACATCCTCCAACAAATATTCATGGCCGAAGGTTGGAGTTTTAGATCCAAGAGTGTTTCCAGGCAGACTCGGCCCAGTGGGAGGGAAAAGTCTCAGAGAAACCTCGAGGGGCTCAGAGAGAAGCTTCGGGAATAGCCACTTAAACCCAAGGTCCTGCTGCACGGGCAGGTATTTTGCTCAGGGGAAGGACTCTGGCTCGGTGTGTGCCAAGGAAGCACCCCTGGCACTGGGTAGCAACATGGGCATAGTGTGGAGAAGCCCAGCAAGACCCCGGCCATGGAGCAGCCACATCCCAAGGGCCGGACCCCAACGGCCACGCTCCTGTCTGGGCTGGCTACTCTGACTGCTTGGCCCTCCCCATGCCGCCTCTGTCTGTCTGACCAGCCCCGCCTGTGTCTCAGAGGAAGCCAGGTGTGGAAAGGACCCTGTGCCCACGTGAGGCCACAAGTCCAAGCCACCACTCAGGGCTCCAGGCGAGCACCTGCCCCTAACCCCCCCCCCGTGTCCCCTCCTCTGAGCCCGGGCCCGGCCCAAGGGCTCTGGAGCAGCAGCTCTGGCAAGGCCAGGGGCTTCGTACCTGCGAGTCCCCAGTGGCCACAAGCAGCAGGTCTCGGACACCATCTTCATCCACGTCCGGCAACACCGCAGCCGGCGCCGCCAGCGTGCCGTTGGCCAAGTGTTTGGGGTTTAAGGTCCAGATGGGTTTCCCTAGGGACAGACACGCGGTGCTGGTCTCAGTGATAGCTCTGGATCTAGAAAGAGGTGTGGGTGGAAGAGTGGAAGGGAGGAGGGAGGGAGGGAGGGAGGGAGGGAGGGAGGAAGGAAGGAAGGAAGGAAGGGAGGAAGGGAGGGAGGGAGTGGGGGGGGAGGAAGGGAGAAAGAAGGGAGGATGGGAGCCTTGTGGACAGCAGGTATGAGCCGGGGGTGTGGGGGCGACTAAAACCTCATGGGAAGGGGGGCGTTCCGGTCCGTCCTTCACGCCCTACCGAGGTCACCAGTTGCCCCCCGCGAGTGGCTCTCCAGCACAGCCACGGCCCCAGAAGCACAAGGACTTAATGCAGAACCCGGCAGCTTGGAGCAGAAAAGTGAAAGGACTATGCGTTAATCCAGGCCATCATGTCTGTCCGGAGGGGAAAGGGTGTTGTCCCATTCGCCCTCTCCTCTCTGGAAAGAAAGATGGCGGCCGCATGGGAGCCTTGTGGACAGCAGGTTTGAGCCGGGGTCGGGGGCGGTAGGGACCTCATGGGAAGGGGGGCATTTCGGTCCGCCCTTCACGCCCTACCGAGGCCAACAGTTGCCCCCCACGAGCGGCTCTCCAGCACGGCCACGACTCCAGAACACAGAAACCAATTTCTTAACTATCTGACTTTCAGTAGAAATACTTCCAGGGTCAATAGGTAAAATAGCCTAAATCCAAAACCAACATTTAATTCTTGAACCCAGCTGTAGAAAGCAAATCACTTCACAATGCTTTTTCAGCATGTCTGATTTGGGGGGGGGGGGGGGTAAACTCTAAATAATAGTGATGAATCTTTTATTGAAACAATGAATCTAATCAAAGCAGATAGAGTGTTAACTAGAATTCATCTGCCTCACAGGGACTGGGAGGGGTGGGGGTGGGGTTCTATTGGGGTTCTTCATGGTAAAAAATAAGTATTGGTAAAGGGAAATGTGTTTGATATTTGCATGACTGAGACCTAAACCTGAAAGCTTTGTAACCTTTCCCACAGTGATTCAATAAATAAATAAATTAATTTTAAAAAAAAGAAGGGAGGAAGGAAGGGAGAAGGAAGGAAGGAAGGAAGGAAGGAAGGAAGGAAGGGAGGGAGGAAGGGAGGGAGGGAGGGAGGGAGGGAGGGAGGGAGGGAGGGAGGGAGGAAGAAGTAGGAAGGGAGGAGGGAAGGAAGGAAAGGAGGAAGGAAGGAGGGAAAAGGAAGAAAGGAAGGAAGGAGGAACAAGGGAGAAAGGAGGGAGGGAGGGAGGGAGGGAGGGAGGGAGGGAGGAAGGAGGGAGGAAGGAAGGATGGAGGGAAAAGAAAGAAAAGAAGAAAGGAGGGAGGAGGGAGAAAGGAGGGGAGGGAGGAGGAGAGGAAGAAGGGAAGGGAAAGGGAAGGAGGGGGGAGGGAGAGGGAGAAGAGGGAGAGCTCCCAGGAGAGAGGCAGAGATGCCCTGGGACCCAGCAGGATGCTAGGCTGATCCTGCCTAAGGCCTGGCCCAGCCTTGCTCCCACCATCCCCGCCCCAGTCTCCACCCACAGTCCCCCCTCCTCCGCTCAGGGGCGCCCACACCCCCAGGTTCTACAGCAGAGGCCCAGTGCCACTCCTCGGGGGACACCGATGGGGGGCAGAGACGGTTGCCTTGCTCACAGCTGCCACGCTAGTCCCCTAGCAAGGCCGGGAACAACCACCCACCCCCACTCATTCAGAGCCCCCTGGAAACCAGCCTCCTTTAAGAGAACAAGCAGAAGGCCCAAATTGCACCAACCGCCATCCTCTGGATGGTTCCAGCACCCCAGGGGGTGGTGTCACCCTTGCTGGGCAGCCCTGAGTCTCAGGCTAGGACACACTATTCTTCCTTTTTCTGTTCTGTTTGGGTCTTATTGTCTGGGCCACCCCCAGAGGAGCTCAGGGACCAGTCCTGGTGGTGCTTGGGGGACCATCCGGGGTGCTGGAGACAGAATTATGGCGTGCAAGTCCAGCGCCCTCCCCCTGCACTCCGGCTGGGCCCAGGAAACCCTGTTCTGAACGGAAGACCGTGCCCACCCGGCAGCACTCCGACCCGCAGCAGGGCATGGCCAGCAGTGCTGGGGACAAGCCCTGGGCCACACCTGACCCAGCCCCGGATGCGGGGTCTACTTGGCATCGCCGGAGCCCCGGTCCACAGGGGCCGACTCACGATTCCCGAGGAAGCCTCATCAGGTCGGCCAACAGCCAGCCTCGCCTGACACGGGTTCCACAGACAGCGGCCACACTCACACGGGGACCCCAGAGACCCAGCACAGGAGGAGACGGGCCTCGCGCCTCTGCACCAGGAACAGAGACGACCTGGGCTGGTTCCCACCTGGGACACTCTTAGAGCCCCAGCAGGTCACTCCGTCCCCACCACCTCCTCTCCCCTGGAGGGCTGCATCAGAGGGTGCTGGGGGGTGGTCCCCGAGGAGGGGGGCAGAGAGGGGGCGTCACCTGACGTCGCGTTGAACACACTGAGCAGCTTGTGCGTCCCGGTCACCAGGCAGGTGGCTGCAGTCGAGCTTCCCGGCCCCGGGTCCGAGCACGTGATGTCGCGGGCCTCCTCCGGCAGGAGACTGGACCACAGGGTGCTGCCGTTCACCCCCGACAGGCACACGAGCACCGCGGGGGGCCTCGGGATGCCTAGGGGCACTGTGGGTACAGGGGCCAGCGACAGGGGTCACCGGCGGCCCCGCAGGCCGTGCTGGACACTCCCCGCACGCGGCCACCCTCGCCGGCCACATCTGCCCCACGGTTCCTGCAGGTGACCGGCTCCAGACACGGCCCCACCCCACGCTCCCTGCACCTGTCCCCGCACCTGTCCCTGCAATTGTCCCCAGACCTGTCCCTGCACTTGTCCCACAACTATCCCCACACCTGTCCCGAAATCTGTCACCGCACCTGTCCCCATATCTATCCCCGCACTCATCTCCTCATCTGTCCTCACAACTCTCTCCACACCTATCCCCACGCCTGTACCCACATCGGTCCCCACAGCTTTCCCCGCACCTATCCCACTATCTGCCCCTGAACCTGTTCCCACACCTGTCCCCGCATCTGCCTTTTCGGCACCCAGAGATGCCCGGCACATCCTGCATGTGGGACACTCACCGCCAGCGCTGCCGTTCCTGGCCGTGACGAAAGAGAGAAGCACGTCTCTCAGGCCATCCCCGTTCACGTCGGCCAGTTCCAGCGGAGACAGGTCCCCTCCTGAGGGACAGACAGGGCCAGTGAGCCCCGAGACTGAGGGAGGGCATCGGCCCCACCCTCCTGCCCGGGGCCCAAACATCCAGAGCAAAGCTGAAAGGGTCTGGAGGTGCAGGGGGGAGAGTGGACCAGTCAGGGGCTCAGGCCCAGCAAGGACCGTGGTGGAAACGCAATAAAGCCCTGAACGGGGTGGGGGTGGGGTGGGAGGATCGATTCATCTTCTCCCTTTCTTTCGAATATCAGATCATAATCTCTTTCCGGGTTAGAGTGATAGCACAGCAGGTAGGGCATTTATTTGCCTTGCACGCAGCCGACCTGGCCGACCCAGGTTCGATTCCTCCGCCCCTCTCGGAGAGCCGGGCAAGCTACCGAGAGTATCTCGCCTGCACGGCAAAGCATGGCAAGCTCCCCATGGCGTATTCAATATGCCAAACACAGTAACAACAAGTCTCACAAGGAGACATTACTGAGCCCACTCGAGCAAATCGATGAACAGGAGGGCAGGGACAGTGACAGTCTCTTTCCAACACACACACACACACACACACACACACACACACACACTCTCGTGGGAGGAAGTTTTAGCCCAACAAGTACCTGCACTGAGCATCCCAGAACCCAGAACTGGGCCTGCATGCCCCACCCCCCACCCCCACCCCCACCCCCACCCTGACTCACCCCGCTGGGCACCCAGCCGGCGACTCCAGGTGCTGTGCAGGTCCCGGGGCGGGCAGGGGATGAGGAAGGCGCAGACCAGCACCAGGACCATGGACACCAGCACGGTCAGCAGGAAGACGGACGTGCGCACATAGGCCACGAAGGACGAGGCAGCCTTCTGCTCCAGCTCGCCCAGGTTCTCGGCGGGGAAGCCCTCTGGGGGGGGCTCGGCGGGGTGGGGCTTGGCGGGGCCCGCGGCCTCGGCGTCCGAGTCGGGCTCGGGGGCATCTCCCAGCGGGCTCTTCCCGTTCTTGAGCCCCCCGTTCTTCTGAGGCACGTTCAGCACCAGGTCATCCTCGCTCTCATCACTGTCGGCCTGCGTCAGAGGGTCGTACTCCCCGAGGTCCGGGCTCTTCTTCCCTGGGGAGCGGATGACAGGGTTAGGGTTGGGGTCAGGGGGAGAGACGCCACATGACAGCCTTCCAAGTCCAGGCGGGCCCTGGGTGTGGAGGCCAAGACCACAGGGGTAGGGCTGGAGCAATAGCACAGTGGGTAGGGTGTTTGCCTTGCAAGCGGCTGACCCGGGTTCGATTCCCAGCATCCCATATGGTCCCCCGAGCACCGCCAGGAATAATTCCTGAGTGCAGAGCCAGGAGTAATCCCTGTGCATTGCTGGGTGTGATCCAAAAAGCCAAAATGAATAAATAAATAAAGACCACAGGGGTGCTGCACTGCGCATGCTCACCCCAGGCCAGGAAACCTGAGAAGGAACAGAAACTTCGGGTGCCTTTTATAGCTGAAAACATCCACTGCCGGGTTGAACACTCCCTGAAAGGGGCCCTGGCTTGGGGTCTCTGCACACCTGCCAGGTGCAGAGGGCCTGGGACCTTGGGTGCAGGGGCACCCCCCACTCCCGGGACCTCCACTGACCTCCCCGGCTGCTCCCAGCTTCCCGGGGCTGGTAGGGCAAAAGTCCCAGGGCTGAGGGCTGGATCACACACACACGGGCCTCCTGGGCAGGCAGCATGAAGCAGGGACAGAGCCATGCAGAGCACAGAAACGGGAGGAAATGGAGCGCCACGCGCACCCCTCTCCCGAGCCACCCTGGGGTTCTCTGCCAACAGCCACGAGAGCGGCTGACATTATTTTGGGCAAATGCCTGATACTAAGAAAACAATTCTGGTTTTGGAAATGACCTCGTATATTGTCAGTAATATAAACACTATCTATTTCAAAGGTATGCATTTTGTCCACTGAAAATTGGATTTTTTAAAAAAATCCTTTCAAGTTAGAAGAAGAAAAAAATGAATAGGGTGAGAGAGATAGTACAGTGGGTAAGGTGCTCGCCTAGTACACAGCCAATCCTGGTTTGACCCCTGGAACCCCGTAAGGGTCCTCCAAGTCCAGCCAGGAGTGACCCCAGAGCACAGAGCCAGGAGTAAGCCCACGTGTGACCCAATCGCCTTGTCCCTTAAACACACACACACACATACACACACACACACGCACTCACACACGCACTCACACATGCACGCACACACTAACATGCAGCCAGCTGAAGAATTCCTGCTGCCCACCTCTGCCTCTGGTCCCCACATGATAGAGGGAATCATTTCATATATGTCTCTGATCATGTGACATGTGAATAACGACACAGCCTATGGGCAGTAACATCTTACAGTGCCAAGTTTAGCGCACAGTACATAAAAAGGCCTCAATGCTTGATTAAAATATAAACATCCCAGGGAATGATGTGATAACCCAAGTACTTCACAAAATACACAAAAGATGCCAACTGGCATCCTACTGATTACAAATTTCAATGTCTTTTCACTTTCAAAGGTATTTATTTTGTCCAATAAAAATTGGATTTGAGGCTGGAGAAATAATAGTAGAGCAGGTAAGGCACCTTACACCCGGTCAACCCAATTTTGAATCCCAGCACCCATATGGTCCCCTGGGCACTGCCAAGAGTGAGGAGAAACTTCTGAGCATTGTCAGGAGGGGCCCAAAAACAAACAAATAAAAAATAAAAACCCCAAACAAAAAAATTGGATTTGATTTGGGGCGGACGGATTTGATTTTTTAAAGACAAAAATTATAAGATGATTCAAAATTTAAAAAAAAAATAACCTGTTAAGATTTTTTTTCTTGCTTTTTTGGGTCACACCCGGTGATGCTCAAGGGTTACTCCTGGCTCATGCACTCAGGAATTGCTCCTGGCGGTGCTCAGGGGACCATATGGGGTGCTGGGAATCGAACCTGTGTCGGTCATATTGGCTGCGTGCAAGGCAAACTCCCTACCCGCTGTGCTATCGCTCCAGCCCCAAGATTTTAATAGTCTTTTCAAATGAGTGCTTAACAGGATAGGTCACAGGGTTACTACAGGTTCAGGGGTCCATCCTGTCCACTTAGATTCACAAGAGATGAAACCATTTTATTCATTAGTGTGCATCATTCCCTACCCATCCCAGATGATTCCTTTATAACTCGCCAACAGAACCAAAGTTGTACAAATATCACTACGTTGGGGGGTACATTGTGCAGTGGCTGGGGGATACCCCATCAGTGTCCGGGCAGCCACGCAATTCTGGGGGCCAAACTGGGGTGCTTGCAGGCAAAGCCCAAGCTCCAACCCTTTGCACTATCACTCTGGCCCCTCGATGCGAATGTCTCTTAAAAGTTCCATTGTTGTTGTCTTTTTTTTTTTTTTTGCTTTTTGGGTCGCACCCGGCAATGCTCAGGGGTTACTCCTGGCTCATGCACTCAGGAATTGCTCCTGGCGGTTCTCGGGGGACCATATGGGATGCTGGGAATCGAACCTGTGTCAGCCATGTTGGCTGCGTGCAAGACAAACGCCCTACCCACTGTGTTATCGCTCCAGCACCTTTTTGAAATTTTTTTTTAATTTTTAAAAATTTTTTTAATGAAACACTGTGAGATACACTTCAGCTGCTGCTTAAGCTCCTTAACAGTCACGACCCAGAAACACACAAAAGAATCTCCGAGCCAAGCAGCTCGCTGCAGAGATTTCTTCAGACCCTGTAGCACTGTAACTGTCATCCCTGTTGTTCATCGATTTGCTCGAGTGGGCACCAGTAACGTCTCTATTGTGAGACTTGTTGTTACTGTTTTTGGTATATCGAATACGTCACAGGGAGCTTGCCAGGCTCTGCTGTGCAGGTGGGATACTCTCGGTAGCTTGCTGGGCTCTCCGAGAGGGACGGAGGAATCAAACCCGGGTTGGCCACGTGCAAGGCAAATGCCCGACCCACTGTACTATCACTCCAGCCCCTCCAGCCCCTAATCATCTAAAATTTTAGAATTCCAGGAGCATCTTATGCTGTTCATAACAAGCAATACGAAAGAGAGTATGGGGGAGGTTGTCTGCCATAGAGGCAGGGGGAGGGCTGGGATGGGGGTGGATACTGGGGACCTTGGTGGTGGATGATGTGCACTGGTGGAAAGTTGGGTGATCAATCACTGTATGACTGAAACTCAAACAGAAAAGCTTTATAACTATATCTCATGGTGATTTAAAAAATAAAATTTAAAAATAATATAAAATTAACATACTGAATTAAAAAAAGAAAGTAATGTGGAGTTCATGCCCAATTCAATCAGCTTGATCAATGGCAGTACTCCTACATTAAAAAAAAAGAAACAAAAAAACCCTAAAGGACATACCTGACCAGCAAGCACACAGACAATGGCGTATTATTCAGCCATAGTGCGGAAGGAAACTTCCCCGTGTACTACAGCACAGACAGGCTGAAAGAATCCAGTTGTCACTAAGGGTATTCACTGTGTGGAGGGAAGCTGACCGATTCCCGGACACAGAGACTGAACGCTTCTTTCCAGGTATGTGTGTTGGGGTTGGGGAGGAGGGTGCGGGGGACGCGGGGGGGGGGGGGGGGGCGGGGAGCACATGCACAATGAGGGCAGAGTCCCAGCCCCGCCAGATGGGAGGGTTCCGGAGAATGGCATGTGTCTTTCCGCTAGTGACCTGCACGCGGAAGTGCAGGTTAGACAGGAGACCTGGGGCTCACCCAGTACAACACACGCCTCTCGCCTCTCCTCATATGGTGAGGCCCTGGGCTCAGGTCTGGCTGGGCATGTAATTTACAAAACAGAAAAAAAAAAGTACATTCTATTGTATTTCTTTTTAGAAAAGGAAATGACCCTGAAACAGAGAAAGCTGTAAAGAGCAACCCTGAGTCTTCAGGGCTGAAAGGGAATGAGGACTCCGCCCCCCTCTTTCAAGTCAAACCTGCAGCACTTAGCAATGCCCACAAGCAACCAGCTGGCGTGCACCTGAACAGCACGGTGTGGGAAGGGCGGCCGGCATCCCTCTGGCACCAGACACTTCCCCCGTCCGTGCCAGACGCTTACACTGGTCCATGCATCTATCCGTGTGTATCTAGCAATGATCTGCCCATGTTTCAGTTCCTGGGAGTCCCTCTTCCACATGCAAGTCCTACAGATACTAGATGACACCATGCCTAAGAAACATACGGTACGGGGCTTTGTAAACCAACACACGCCGATCTAGGCTCTGTTTCATGACGGTTTATTAATCTCCTGCTGTGTGACCACAAGCAAACATTGCCTGGGGCTGTGAGAGAGACCAGCGGGGCAGGGTGCTTGCCTTGCACGTGGCTGACCGGAGGTTTTTTTTCTTTTTTTCACTTTTTGGGTCACAGCTGGTAATGCACAGGGGTTCCTCCTGGCTCTGCACTCAGGAGTTACTCCTAGCGGTGCTCAGGGGACTATATGGGATTCTGGGAATCGAACCTGGGTCGGCCACGTGCAAGGCAATCGTCCTACCCGCTGTGCTATCTCTCCAGCCCCAGCTGACCAGAGTTTAACCCCCATCACTCCAGATGGTCCCCCAAGCCCCGCCAGGAGTGACCCTGAGCACAGAGCCAGGAGTAAGCCCTGAGTGCCACTGGATGCATGCCTGAAACAAACAAACCCACGGAGAGCCTACATTTCCGGCACGAACCATTGTTAGCGCCCCTGCCTCCCTTGGCTGTTGGAATCAGCCGAGTCCACGGAGCTGGAGTTCCCGTGGCCTCGCTCCAGGTCACGCTTGATCAATGTTGGCTTCCATTATCATTGCTGGCATGTTTGCTCCCAACCACCCTCCCCAGTGCCTTCTCTTCTCTTCCATGACTCGAAGAGGTGCTGGCCCAGCTGCCCTCCACATCCTGCCCACTGGCAACAGGATACAATGTGGCACGTCAGAGGTTTTTTTTGTTATTTGTATTTTAGGGATGGTTCCCGGGAACCGGATATGATCCGGAGGTGCAGAGGGAACCGGATATGATCCGGAGGTGCAGAGGGAACTGGATATGATCCTGAGGTGCAGAGGGCAGAACCTCGCCCTCCAGATCCAGGGGGCCCACAACAACTTCCAC